ATAGCAAAAGAAAGAGAAAACCTCCAAATGCTGCAACTTGTGGCAACAAGTGACAGAGGTGGACAAATAGAAATATAGAGGACTAAATTAGCAGATGGCTTTGTCAACTGTCTCTGCTTTCACGTGAACCTGTCCGAGTAACTGAAACGTGTAGGCACAGATCAATCAGTACACATTTCCCACTCTGTAAATCTCCACCCCTCAATTAGTTATCCCTTCCTAATTAAACACAGCTACAAGATGTAGAATCCTCCCTAACACATCACTCAATAAACATTTTAATCCTTATGATTAAAAGGATCTTAATATCACAAAAGTGAAAGCATAGACATAAGAGATCCCCCAGAAGCTACAAATAATCAAGGCAGTTGATGTACTAACACACCTCTGACTTATCTGTCTCACTAAAAAGTACTGTTTAAAAAAAAATTACCAGCTTCCTAGTGCTGCTTACACCTTTGTATGTGGTTTATAGCAGAAGCCTCACACTGTCCCTACACAAATAAATTTCAGTTGCATGTGTTTTCTGTACCGAAGAACAGACTTATGAAGAAGTAGGTGTAGCTCAGCTTCACAGATTACAATCTGGTTAAGTCTCTGCAGTCATCTTTTTGAAAACCAAACATACTTCACATCACGTTTTTATCAACAAGAAATTTTAGGTGCCGTCCCATCAATCTTTCAGCAAATTTATTTTTCTTCGAAGGTTTCTACAGAGCAAGGTACTACTGATCACTATAATGTAATGTGAACCCAAACACAATGTGTTAAATAATTCCCATCATGCACATTCCATGACAAAACAGATATGAAAACAATAATAAACATCCAGCATAGGAGCTGGTTAAAGAAAGCCTCTGGAATTTCAGGCTCATATACTTAAGCCTATAACTTAGACTACCTCTCTTTTTCTTTATACAAGCTTACCATGCAAATGATTTCATTTGCTATTTGTAACTGAAAGATAAATCTACTTTAGATTTCTTAGAGCTCTAGAACTCAATTTCAAAATCAACAGTTCATATTAAAAAGAAAAAAACCCTCAATATCTCAAAGTAGCCCAAATGAATGATGCTTGCAAGCTTACAGAATATTTTGGGCAAGTTTACGAAAAGGCAACATCCTTCCCTTTCCTCCACTCTGCTCTAAGTGCATTTGTTATGCCATGTTTTACTTCCTTATTTTATAGCTTCTACATTCCCATATTCCTATCACACTCCAAACTCTTCCTGAAAGCTTTATTCCTATTAGCATGTTCAAGGAATTCCAGCCTGCAGATTCTGCTCTGCACTTACTGTGCCCAAGGAATGTGCATTGAAAGATGAGCTGGAGGAATGTCTTTAGTAAAAAGAAACAACGTGCCAAGAGTATTGGATCCTGTGTTCCTCTGATACACAACCTGCAGTGCCTGAATGCCATTTGGATAAGTGATTAAAAGTGCTGCTCACACTGAACCAACTATTCATGCCTACCTAGATTTAATGAGTTTCTATACAAATGTTCTTGACTACTTTTAAAGTTTCATCTTTCTATTACTGGACATAGTGGTGGGGTTTTTTGTCATCAGTAATACAAGACTAACAAAACAATGAATTTTCTTATGTCAGTAGGACCTCAGGTAACACAGAGGTGGGATCCAAGTTCACATGTAATTCTCATGAGGCTCTAAGTACCAGGCCATGCTCAAGAGCAGGAACTGGTTTGTCTCCACACCTAAGCCATTCTTTCATTCTGGGGTCTAAACCTCAGGCCCAATGCAGGTAGCTGCATTTAGCATCCTTTGCAAAGACAGCAATAAGGGCAGGGCCCATCCACATGAACAGGGTGCAGTCCTCCCACATGCTTTCCAACTGGACCACCCTGACAAGGACTTCCAAATAAGAAAATATATCAGCAAATTGAATTTAATAGTCACAATGTGAGTTCTTCATGAGAATGGATTTTTTTCTAATACTAGCAAATACAGCACTTTCGACAAAACTACACCAAAGCAAAGAATTTGAAACAGAACTGGGACACAGAAACAAGAAAAGTTAATGCTATTTATGATGCCTTCTATTTTAGTGGTGAAGACAACAGCAAACCTGACTAAGAATCCTCAGAACCATTACTCAGGATGTAACGAAAACTGATGCAACACACACTTTGGGAAAGGAAACTTAAGCCCAAGTGGGCCCTACAGAGTTGACACTCTGCTCTTGCCACAGAGCTCTCTCCAACTGTGACCAGACCTTATCAAGTGTCACATAGCTTTAGAACCATCTCTGGACACACAGAAATTAAGCACGAGGCACAGGAAAAAGTGCCTGTTATTCAAGAATAAAGCAATTTTGATTCTGCAAAGCAAATTGTAAAGACATGCAACTTTCTACATCCTACCAGACTTAATCCCTCAGGAGGCCCCAGAGAGCAACACAAATGAGAACAAATGAATACTTGCTTCAAAGAGGTAATAATAACTCAGGTATAAAAAGAGTCAGGGATACACACAGCACAATAGATGAATATAGACAGGGCAGGCAGAGTAACAGCAAGAAGCAATGAGGAGTAGTTTTCCCATGTAAGTAGACTAATCACAGTCAAGTTTTTGTAGGCAAGAAAAAAATAGCATTTTAGAAAGGGCTTCAGAAGAGGAAAATGAATAAGCAATACAGATACTCATGTCCAGGACATGCAGCTTATGCCTGAGATGACACAGATGGAGTCAAATGTAGGTTGATTCCCTGTCAAATGCGAGGCTACAGAAGTCTTTAGAGGCAATATTCTGAAGAGATACAAATCAGGCCACGTGACAGCTGCCAAAAGCCAAAGAAACGATGTTGGAGTAACCAAGATGCAAAATCACTGACAGCTTGGATGAAAGCTCAGCAGCATGAACAGACAGGAAAAGCTGTCATGCAGACAGAATTAGCAGGATTTGGATAGGCTGGATGGGAACGGAGAGGAAGAACTGTGAGCTGAAGGGAACACCCAGACTCGATGAGAAAACAGCACAGCAGCTGGAAGGGGACTATGCAGGAGCCCTTGTGCAGATCAAGAGTTCCAGGTAAGCAATGTTTTGTTTAAGGCAAAAAAGAGATGAGGGGATGTCAGAGGTGCACTGAGACTGTGGGCTGCTCAAAAGCTGATAGATGTTGAGCACAGGAGCAGATTTCCAACACTTCTTACCCTACTTGATTAATTCCACAAGCTTTGCCTAGACAAGTACTTAACCATTCCAGAAAGGCTGGGGTGACTGAAGCCCTTAGTGCTTTCGCTCTCTTAGAGCTACCTCACTTGACCCAGATTACTCAGCAGATTTTCACAGCTCATTAACATTTCCCACTAGTTAACTCTCAGCTTAGACTATTGGTTGTACTGCAGTGTGTTTCCAGTAAGAGGGTTTCTACCACTGCCTTTTCACAATTTTCTCTACATGATGTGTTGATCACTCTTACAACAAAAGTGCTCATTTTCAAGATTCTTGCATCTTCCAATAGCTAGCAACAAGAGCTGCAACTTCTGAGCCATCTGTACATACTGGTTTGGGGAATGTGTTGGATCCAGCAAGAGGAATCTGAAAGACTGAATGGCAATGCAGAATTCTCAGTTTTCTGCATTTGTTTCTTCATCCCGCTACTTTAAAACAATCAACTGTCTGTCAAGTTAACATCAATTATTTCCCTAAACTCTTATTCTCCTGCAGCTGATCACACACCCCGAGTTCAAAGCCTTGGTAATCCTTGCTGTTTATCAAGCTTGCCCATAATAGTACACAATCACAGACACAACCACAGACACAGACACTAATTAACAACATTCCATTGTGCCACAAATGAGAAATGCCAAGAGATCTACCTTACCCTGCCCTGCTCCTTACACAGCTGCCACTTCACGAGCACACATGCACACAGACAGCAGGCAGACAACAATATACAGAATAATGAATGGGTCTCTAGTGTTTCAGATTTACCTACAACCGTGTCCTTCCATCAGAACTTTAAGAGTGTTTTGCTTCTGGTACTAGCATTAGCAATCCCACAATACAGACTGTTAAGAAAAACGTTGCTCAACATTAGAGATAGAAATAGAGTTAGAAAAATCTAGGTGCATCCCAGGACCACTCTGCAAATTACTCATGAACTGATAGATATTTTACAAGCTGTGCATCACACAGCTGCTGCCAATGCGTTATGCATGTCTCTGACCAAGAATTGAAAAAAAACCAAACCAAAAACCAAACCAAAAAACCAAACAAAAAAAATCCCCAAACAAAAACCCAACCAAACAAAAACAAACAAACAAAAACAAAACTCCAAAACCAAAACAAAACCCCAAACTGAAAATGAATATGCTGATGAAAATGCACATCTCATGTCTTAAAGGCACAAACCAAAACTGAAATAAAGGACATGCAAATGGAAAGTGGACATATCTGGGGGACGGTTGGGGGGAAAGAGTTAAATGCAGATAAATCCCTTACTGCTGAAAATAACATTTCAATGTAATTTTCTATCCAGACAATCCAGTTCAGAGTCCTTTCATTCTTACTGTGGGAAAATGGGAACTGGAAAAAAAGTCCCACCGAGGAGGCTCTTTGCTTTCCCTCTCTTTTTTTTTTTTTTTTTTCCTTTTTTACTTTAAAAGTCTGTGATGACCTAAAGAAAGTTAACAAAACAAAACTGTGTCCAGTATTTTAAAATCAACTTTCCCTTGGGTTTCAAAACTGCATCTGTTCCACGTGCACTGAATTCAGTTCAAATATATTGTTCAGGACGACTAAAATATCAGCCTACAGTGAGGGACATGAACATATAAAAGTAAATAGAAAGAAAAAGGCAGTTAAGAGGTGAATACATATAACAATCTACTGCTTGATAGAGTTTAACTCCTCTTTCAGTGTTTCTAAACCATTATTTATACAGTTTATACTAGAGCTAATTTTCCCAAATACAGTTAATCATTTAGCCTACCAACTAGGGTTTTAAAGGGACATTTCTACATTCAGCCTGTAATATTACCTTGTAGGCAGCTTGTCTCATAAACTGCTTTGCAGGCTGTTTCCAAATAGCAGGAACTGTAATAACCCATCTTACTTCAGTGTTTTCAAAGTCCGAGCCTCCTTGGTCACTGAGCTCCTAAATAAAAGGAAAATAGAGGTGAATGCAAAATGATAGGTGTCTACTTTATAAGAGAATTTTATTTTCTGCTGGCTCCAGTAACAGTAACTCTTTCTTTTCAATTTTCTTCCCGTTACTTCAATGCTACGAGTCAGGATTACTTCCAACCTGTGAAGAATGCTTTACTGTGCCAAAAGGTATGGTTAGGGTTGAAGCTTTCTCAAGGAGGTCTATAGAAAAGTTTACTGCTAATATGAAGTAGAAAATGTGGTTTTTGCAAAAGCAGCAATTTACAGAGTACTACAGAATATTTATATACGTTCCTAGTTGCAGTGTGGTATTTGCTGTTAACTTGAAGAATTCACACTTACATCTTGATTAATAGACAGAAAAATATTCCAAGTATCACTGATGAACATTATGTTTTACAAACTGGATTTTTCAATTACTTCTTTATACACCACTTACCTTTAAATCAGAGTTTTACAACACAGTTACCAAGGGTAGGTTATAGTTAACCCCCTTTAAAAAAATTACTTCAAAATTTTGCTTTAAGCAAACATTCAAGACTATTTTAGTACTTTTACTGTCCTTTTTTTTTTTCCCTTTAAAAGAGGGAAGTCTGTACTGCATTTGAAAATTAGATGATATACTGACATGTTTTGGGAAAGGTTCCAAGTAAAATGTTATTACCATATGTCCTATCTAAATCTCCATCCAAACATAGAAAGGTTCAGAGAGGTGAACAACAGGCCTTTAGAATGTAAAAGAATGTTTCTGCATGTGCTGAGCCAAGGTGTTGTGTTTGTTAAGCTATGCTGGAAAAGTAGTACCTTTATACTGCACACAGCACCAGAAACGGACAGATTATAGTCCAAAGTAACAGCTCACTTACACTGCTTGTCTAATTAGGTCCAGGATTTATTCACAAATGCCAGGGATTTAGTTACTAACAGCAGGAAAGGATGTAGCCTTGAACAGGCAGCACAGTAAATATATGGGATTGTACCCCACCACATTTGCTAAGAATTTCCCCACTCTGTGCACAGCTTCAGAGTCATCATGACTCCACAATCAACCACAAAATACTTAGAAAGTCTTTGAAATGATAAGGCATTTGAACTGTAGTGGTAGGATTGTTTCTCTGCAGCCATAAAGAAGAGATTGAGATCTCAGAGAAAATAAATCCATTTAAAAAGGTAGGTTAGCTTTTAGCAACAAGGCTATTATAAACAATGTTTGCTGGGATGAGTATTCTGATTTGACCCAGGAACTGCTATGCTTATAATTGATATTATAGTGGCACGTTTGAAGCCAATGTTTACTTAATTCACAATTGACTGTTTACCTGAGGTTTTAAATCTCAAAACCAGTTTACTGGGGGCCACGTGTTTCACCAGAGAACACAATAAACAATCTTGTGATCCAAGCAGAACATTAAAAGAAATAAGTATTGCAACATTACAAATGGGAAATGGAAAATAATACTTCAGACTTTTGTGAGCTCCTCGAGTCCACAGCTTGCCCAGGGTTTCTACACCTGCCTTGCTTTGTTTACATCAAATACTACTGAGGTCAAAATCTGGCAAGGTTAAAAGCGTTAAGCTCATATTTATAGCAGTTCTAAATACAGAAGATCTTGATAAGGAAGTATTACCCCACCTTTAATGCCTGTTCCTTAAAGAATTGCAGAGCATAAGCAAATATCTCAAGTGCTTTGACTTTTTTGCCATTTGCAGCTGTCAGGTCTGTCTCCATGGTAAGATTCTACATGAAAGAAAATAACAGGAAGTTACTAGAAGAAAAAGGGAAACATGAAATTTCTTCCCACTGTTTGAAGAAAGCGAATCCTCATTATCCACCTGGTTAGGAAAAAGTGACAAAACTGTTCCGAAGAGGACTTAACTCATCACTTGAATTCCCTGGAGCATGACATATTGCTGCTTATTTTAGACTACGTTTTTAAACACTTACCATGTCTACAGATAACTGCAGGCAGAGAGAGAAATGTGTATTAAATATTAAAGAATTGCAATAAGTGTATCTGTAATTAATTGCAACAAAGCTGCATATGCAAGAAATTTAAGCCAAGTTAAGAAGTAAAAGCACAGATTTTTGGCTTCCCACCATCACAAGAAACCAGAACAGAGAAAGTACTGGCTGATTCCCAAAACTCTAGAATGGATTAAAGACAAAAATATAATCAATAGGAATAACGTCAAATTAACCGTATGATTTGCACTTGCAGTTCTGGCAACAAATTCTGGGTGAATTTGCTCTTCTGTGCTAGAACTCAGTATGGCTCTTACATTCCATTTCTGCTGACTAGATTTACAGAACAAACCAACTCATGCAGACTCCCCAGACAGCTATGAATTTCACCCAGGAAAATTAGGACATGCAGATTTAAGCAAAGCAGACACTGAACTTCTGAGATTTAGAAAGAAGGCTGGCAAAATACAGTTGCCAAGTGAGAAGCAAAATGAATCATGTTAAACTAAGAGTTTCACTTGCTCAATTTACTCTCTAAACTTAGAAATGGAGCTGCTTCACATCTAGTTGACAATCTGAGTTGACAATCTTGACTAGATCTGAGGATCTTGTATTGTTCAGAGGAAAATAATGTGAGTAGCAAATGCCACTTGGTCATTACTTACACCAGTGGTATGTAGTTTCATCTTAAACTTTTCAAAATACAACCAGTGCTTCGATTCAGTGGGATCCAAGTCATGGTAGAAATCTCTTGCTGCATAGCCAAAACTATGAAACTTTCTTTCTGGAGTTAGGAGGATAGTGGTCGGTGTCTTCTGGTTGGATACACCTGGATCTCCACCTTCCCATCGTCTAATCAAAAAATGTGAAACAGCTTCAGTAAATGATGCTCAAGTTTAGAGCAGCAGAAAAAAAACAAGTGTAGCACAATAAAAACAATGTGGTGGCAAATTTCAGTGACTGCTTTTCCCTCCAAAGATACTAATTTCAAACCCTGTAATACCAAAACCAAATGGATTTATTCCTACCTAAGAAAAAAGGACTGCAATCTTCATTTCAAGCAATTCAATACATTTTGTGGTTAGTTGTATAATTCTTAAGGACATAATCATACTCAGAAAAGAATACAGATTCCCTGAAGACATACACAATTAAAAAGGAAACAGTTTTGTACTTAAATTTTCTGATTAGGCATACAAATGTAATATAAAAATTGTACAGAAAAGAAAAGGCAACTATCCAGGAACACAACTAAAAAACCCAAATTTGGGCTATCCAATTTCTTATCAGGCTCCATGAATGCTTACTTGTATGGGATACTTTTCCCATTCAGAATTAGGGGCCTGCTCAAGCGATCTGCACACCACTATGGAGAAGTTGATCAAATCCCTATTTCTGTCACAGAATACTCTCTGAAACAAGGCAAGCCAGTTCAAACACCATCTGACCATGTGCCTCATTTCCTGTACACCTGAAACTCTGAAGACACATCTGCAGATGATGACCTCTCTGCACTGCACCCTCTACTCACCTGAAGTTGATAAATGTTGTGTTTTAAATGCCCCAAATGCTGCAAAAGTCTTAATCTGTCAAAAATAAAGCATACCCCCCAAGTATCTTCAAGGTACCAAAATATTTCTGTCACTACTGGTGAATCTATCCTCTTTTCTACCCTCTCTTATGAAGCTTCTGAAGGTATCTTTGAGGATACCCAAGAGGCATAAAAGTAGTAAGGCAAACGTAACCCAAAGCTTGTTTCAGATATAGAAGTATACATACAGAATAGATAAGAAAATAAAAAAGAACCTCAAATATGGGAGCAGCAGCAGCAGGAATTGCAGGGGGGCCTGGCAGGACAATTAGGTCAGACATTAAGAAAGTTGTCTCAGAGACAGCTGTAAGTATTCCTGTCTTCTCCTCACTTCCCATCACAAAAAAACCCAAGGCAGAATGGAAGAACAAGAAACTCGCATGACTGTTCCTCCCCCTCCACGTACAAGTACGTTCAGTATGAGAAACAAACATTTACCAGAAAAGATTTTCTTAAAAAGGCACCAGCAGAAAATCTGTTTATGCTCTCAGACATAATCATAACACAGCTCAAACAGGAGCCAAGTTAAGATCACACAGGCAACTGCATTCGTTATTAAACTACATCTCGATTGCTTTTTTCTAAAGATAGCAAAAAGCACTTTCAGAATATACTCCTTCCCAAGTCCTTATTCTGAAGCACAAAAAGGCTGCCTTGCTCTGTGGTAGCTGTTTATGTGACATAGGCAGATTATGTAGAAAAAATTATTTCCATTTCACTCTCAAAAACAGTTGAATCCATTGAAAATAAATTGACCTCCAGACCAAGGCAGAAAACTGACATGGAAAACTGCAATCGAAGGGTTGATACTTGGCAAAGTAACAAGGACCAGGATCTTGTGAAGTGCTGGGAACCCTTCAGACCATTCAGCTGGATCTAACAGAGCAAAATCTGCCCCTTTTTGCAGCGACAGCAGAGAAAAACATGTCTGAACTTCATTCAGTGTAGAGCACAATTCCACTGCTCTGAAAGCAGAAACAGCACGATGAGGAGTGGAATGATTTCCATCTTCATCAACTTGAAAAAACTTTCCTAAACCTCCCTAGTTCCACTACTCAGCCCCTGAGCTATGATCAGCTGGCAAGGGCTCTGCTCCAGGTCACTTCTTTCTAACCTGCTGCTAGAAATGCACTTGGTCAACTCCAAAATCTTTGAGTAGGTGTTACAGCAAACATATGGTTCCAGTGTGAAGAAGCTGGGATCTCATAGCCTATGAACAGAAAACACTGCTATTTCACCAGATTGTTAAATCCCACACACTTGCTGCAAGCAGAGAGGAGACAGACTGATATCATTTTCTCCTGGAATCATTAATGATTCATTCTGAGTCACTGGTGGGAAATGCCATAAATAGGCTGTGGCTAATAACAATACTTCTTTGTTTTTCATTACAGCCAGGCACATCTTCTCTTTCCGGAATAAGTACGCTTAAGGTGCGGTTTAAATGGAGACAAATTTATGTTCAATGTTACAGGCTGAAATTTTCAAAGCCGTCCAGAGAATTGGATGCTCACTTCCTGATGAGCTTCTGATGAAAACTAGACATGATAATTGCTCAGCCTGTACTATTGTTCAGTCACAGAAAGGGCAGCAGGGAAAGAGAAAGCGAAATATGACAACCATTTGTAATCAGGGACTTAAAAATATTGCCATGCGACATTCTTCTAGAGAGAAGCAGCAGCAAAGGCACACGAATGGCAACCCCTGGCTGCAGCAATCTTCTCCGGTGGAGCTCTGGCCTCACTCCAGTTAGTGGGGGCTTCTAGTCAGTAGAGCTAGGACTGCAACACCTTCATTTGCAGTTTTCTTTCTTGGCACCAAAACAGGCAAAATAATAATAATAATGCTCTTAAGAAAAAAAAAAAAACAAACACCTATTAAAAGCATAAACCTATACAAGCCAAAATTGTTCTAAATGCATACGGGGGATATTTTCTCAGAGCAGAATCAGAGTTTAAAAAGCTATTCTGACAGAACCAAGGTAGATTTTTGCCCAAATGCAGACATATATGTTTCTAGGCTGATAGAGATGGATTATGCCAACAGTGATATAAACAGCACAGACCTGTTTATATCCACAGAACATCTTGACTGTGTATTAGAAGTGAAAATAGAGATGAGGAAAGTTAGTGAGGAAAGGACCACCAGGTTATACACCAAGGTTAGAGAAATGTCCTTCCTTACACTTCAGTCTGGCTAAAAGACAGACCAAAGAGTGATCTGTGCAGAGTGATGAGAATTTGATCCAGAGCTGCAGCAAAACAGTGAGGGAAATGAAAGACTGCAATCATCAAAATGCAGATAAATGCCACTAGGAGTGTGTATGCAGAAGAAAGGCAAGCGTGTGTCTCCCAATAACTACAAGACAGGGAAGAGAAAGAAAAGATAAAACCTGAAGGTTGAAGTTACACCAAAAAGAGATGACAATCTCCCTCCTTCCAAAGGCGGGCTGCAATTTGTTTCACAACCACATGCATTTTTCCATTTCTTTTTCTCCATTTGTGAAATACTCACATTCCGTTTGCTGATATTTAACCAGCAGGCAAAACATTCGTAACTTCATGTAATGGCATATAAATCACTAGGAGTTTTTCAAAACTGTGCAATAGCTCGTGTATTCCCTCCAAATGAGACATTAATAACTCGTTCTACAGCAGCAAACCTTCATTATGGCCTGGGCACTGCCTTGGCTACTGAAGTGATGAACGAACTCCTGGCCAGGTCGTTCATTGCATTTTTTCACAATGTCAAGGTACAGTGCATAGCACATACTCCTAATCTGCAACAAGAATCTAAAGTTAACCACAACTATCTTTAAGAGAAGCTGGGGGAGGGAAATTACAAGAGTTGTCACCTGTGAAGTTGTACCTAACACTGATAAAACAGTAACCAATGGTTTGCAATCCAAGTGAAGACATTCATTGTCACCCAACTCCAAACACACACTGACATGAGTGCGGCTACTCATACATTTCAAGGTAAGTATATGCTTAAAGAACTTTGTTAGGTCAACGCTTATAAACTCTTTTTTTTTTTTTTTTTAGTACTGGACATCACAGCAAATAAACACACACAAAAACATGACTTTAATTGCCCACTAATTACAGGACTAAAATCATGGTGCTGCTGACACTACACTCAAACTTGCTGCTAAAGTCCCTTATGTTCACTCTTTTCCAAGGTAGGACCTTCTAAATAAACCCATCTTATCCTTCCCCGAGACATTTACAGAAAAGCAGCTTTGTTAAAACGCAGTCAGAACTCTAAGTATCTGGAAAGGATCAACACTAAGGAGGGAAAGGTAGAAAAAATGTTAGGAAGCACAGAGGACCATGCATCAGTGGTATGCTTTATTTTAACATAAACATTCTCGAGTGTGGGCGGGAAGTTACATTTACTCTCCTGAAATATTTATAAATTATCCTACATGTAAGCCTCATTATATACAGAATTTGAACCTCTTAATACCTTCTGAACTACTGAAGACTTATTTTGATAAATAAACCATTATTTTAATTGAATTTCATTCTTTCATGAGTATTTATATGTAAATATATATAAAAACATAACATACACTATTTGGTAAGTCAGTTATATCTTCCCCAAAATTCCTCCCCCACCAGCCATATTTATTTATTTTAAAAAAACCTGAAATAATTCTTGGTATTAAAATATTTTCCGTTGTTTGAAATACCTATTGGAAATACCAATACATTCACCCCCTGCCAAATGTTCCTCTCTTCTGGTTGAAAATCATGAAGTTGTTTATTTAATTTCTTTCAATACCAGTATCTCATACAATAACTACACAGTTCTGAAATCACAATCATGCTACCACTATAGTGTTAGAAAGAAAACACCATGTTTTGAACCATAAGTAGTAAAGTCAATTAAGATTAGGAATATATTCTCAGCTCAGCACAAAACACCTAGATTTCAACGTCCCAACCATCGACCGCAGGATGCCTGGTACCCTGGAAGGAGAATCTAGTCTGTAATGTGAACTCAACGGCAGAATCAGGCCCTAAGGTAAAATTTTCAGTCCAAAGCACTTAAAGGACTTCCCCAGAAATGGTAGTGATTTCACATAGTAAAAGCTCCACAGACACTACAGAAGCAACACAGAATATACACTTTAGGCTTGCTCAGGTACAGCTTCAGAGATGTCTTCCCTCATTGCACCCAACTTCTTTGAGGACTTTAATTAATTACTGCTGTTGAAAAAGAATAGGAGCTGCTAAACTTGGGTTTCAGCTTGACAACCCTGTAACCTTTCTGAGAAAGCAACACATGGCCTGTCCTTCGACTTCCAGCCTCGTGCATCTTCCTGTGCTGGTTGGGGAACCAGAGGGTTGAAATGCATAAAAGCCCTCGAGAGCATTAGCTGTCCATACTGCAAGTGGTACTTTGCAGCTGGATGGCATAGTACCAGTGAGAAATTTACCTTCCTTAGACAGTATTTCAAATCCCTCAGTTGAATTAGAAACATTCTGCAACCATACACAAACCAACTGTGCAGGCTGACTGCACAATCAATACTGTCTGCTGAGATTAAGGGAGCTGCATTCAGCCAGCATCTTTGCTTAGAAAAATTGCAGTATATCACACTGGACTGCTGCAAATTAGTCTTTCTGACCTTCTGTTCTCAGTATTACAGAACATTACCTACTACTGCAACAGCAGCACTGTTAAGACTCTTCTATGACTGAGCTTTTCATACATACTTGATGTCTGAAGTTATCTTGGTTTTATTACAACATAGTAATTTTAAATATACTTCAATAAGAATTGTATAGGTTTTTAATAAAAAGACTATAAAATAGTGTAACAATGGTTTGCAGGGCACACCTTCCAGATAGCTGCCGTAACAGATTTTGTATTTGCAATCGTATTGATTTATATTGTGTTAATTTAATTAAGAAATAAAAAAATAACTTCCTCCTACTTAAAAGCATCTGAAGTCTGTCCCTTACATATATATAAAGCAGAACAAGTTTCACATTAAACCTTCATTTTCACATTCATGCCTTTTGATTGCTTATTTCCCAGTATCACTAGTTCATTATCATAGACAGGATTCAAATTTAGCACTACAAAGCTCCAATCAAACAAACTACCAGTTTCTGGGCAGAAGTAACTTAGTGTTGTACACAAGCATGATTCCAGGGGATGGGCAACTCCTGGGAAATGCCATGACTTTTACTAAAAGTGTAGTTTCTCTCAGTATCTCAAGATAAGGGTATCCTGACCTAATAATTAACTATGCTCCCTGAAAAATTCTCTATACTCACTGATCCCTCCTGTCACTTGTGTCATCTTGTAAACTCAGCAAAATAAGAGAGGATATGTTTCCACTGACTACTAAAGCAAATTAGAATACAGTAAGATGCAACAAAAAGTTATAATCATGAGAAATTTTCACACTATGTCTAGACAGACCTAGACACTTCAGGCTCCTGTAGAAAATACCTATGGCTACTGCAGACACCCCATGTTATCACAATCCAAAACTAAATGCTGCATTGCAGCCCTTACCTCATTACATGAATACATTCTGGTTCCTTGGTGAAGCTGTAGGCGTAGCCACTGGATGTTGTGCCAAAATCAATAGCCACAACAACAAGAAATAACTGTTCTACAGCATCATCTGCATCAGAATCCTTCTGTTAAACAGCAGAAGCAAAACAGACACTGAGTAACTGATCAGAATTACTGTGACTCGTCAGTATTCTTGCTCTCCGTGACATGCATATAAAATAAAAGCTTCCCTACAGTTGCATTTGTGACCAAAGCTGACACCAAAAAGCTGCACATTCCAATGGAAGTGGAAATTCAATATATGACTCAACATATTTGCTAGAGCCTTTTATATATAACCTTCTGATCAAGAGTTTCCTTCATACTAATTTTTGAAATACTTCTTATCCTATATTGTTAAAACTTGTGGTTTTGGGGTCCTTTTGTTTTTTGGTTTTTTTTTTCTTAAATTGATCAACTGAAGAATATGTTTATTTCCACTGATGTGATGTACTTGGGACTTATGTGGTGGTTTTAGGAGTTAACTATGTGATAACCTTGAACAGGAGGTACTATTACTATTTAAAAATAACGGAGACACAACAACCCAAAATTCAGCAATAAGCTTTGCATCCCATGAAAATTATTTATTTATGAAGAATTTACATAACACTTACTTTGTAAGCACTACATGCATTCTTTCCCCCTGCCTGTGCTACAACGTGGAAAGCTGTTTGGCTGCTTATGGTGAATCTGAATGAATCTTCCTTCCTGCCTTTCACCTGTAATCCTGCAATCCCTGAAAAGCACACTCAAGGGCAATGTAGCAATGCTAACTAGCAGAGCTGGAAGGATTATGGCTCAAATCATAATGATTTAATATAAAGCATGGTGTGAATAAACAAGAAGTTGTACCGTTCCACAGTAGGGTGTTGCCTAACCTAAACCCTGTATAAAGGAGGAGTAAGTAATAAACATCAAAGAACTACTCTCCACGTGCTGATGGGGGTTAAAGCAGGAACAACTTTAGCAAGGCAAGAGAACTGAAGCCACTGTCGTTATCTTTTACAGAGGAACTGCCAAACGTTCTCACTCTGTGAGCAGTGTTCCACGGTACTCCCCACATATCTCCATTAGTTCCATGCCTACTGCTTTCAGCACATTTCTATTTCTACTTTTGCCAAGATCATCCCATAGGCCTGCTATTTGAAAGGGAGAAACAAGAGTAATAAGTTTCGGACTCAAATCGTGAAAGATTTGTTTGGATTCTCCTGATAAAGCTTTTCAACTAGGACAAGATGCTCTTTATATGTCTTCCTCAAAGAGTTTAAGGAGCAAATGTAACTGAAATAGGATGTAAATTAATCAGTATGACAGAAGTAAAATGGCAAGTTCTAGAATATATAGAGAAAGAAGAGAATAAAAGCAAAAAATTATGAGAACACTGGAAATCCTCAAGATGGTTCATGCACAACTCTGAACTTGATTCAGAAAGCTAAGGTAGAAGTCTGACTTTGCATTTCCTGTGTTACAAATCATACAGATGATCTTAAAAACACGTGAGACTTAAAAGGATTTCATCAACAAAATCAGCATGACGTATCAGAGATTAAAACACACAACCTTTAGGGGACATTTGCTTGCTTCTAAATGCTTACAGAAGTTGCTATTTTCCTTAAGAAACGAAACCAGTTCTATTTTGAGCTTCTCTCTCTAGATGTATATATCCATAGGATGAGATTCTTTTCTCTAGGAATTTGGACTTTACTGCTGAGTATCATATATATCCTTCTGGTTTTTTCTGAATGGGAGTTTTCAGGGTCTGCCTATATAAATCAGTGATAAAGGCAGGGGCAGAACTTGGGAACCCCGAGGATCAAGAAGCCCCTGTGTTTGATACAAAAGCATGCAGCAAATACAAAACATCAACACCAGGACCACAATGAAATTAAATGAATGGGAGCTCTGTCACCCACCCTAACGCGACCAAAATTTCACTTAATCCTATGGATAGCATAAAGGGGATCACTACGTGAGAAAGTGACAGCTTTCTGAAGAAATTACATCCCACTAAACAGGCAAGAGAAAGTAATGTCAACACACAATGTATGTTAAGAGTGCATTTCTTACCACAATATGTGAAGGAGACAGTGGAGTTATTCCAGGGTCTCCCAAACTTTTGGCTGGTGATGAGTAAGCAGATGTGGAAACTGCATCTAAAAGCAAACAAACATTGTCAGTGTCAGTAAGCAGAATGAGTAGGATATGCTTTCCAAACGACTATACTGTTGTCCAGTTGTAACAAATCTGCTAAAAAAGAAAGCAAATTCCACAGTTGCCATCTAAAATACATATTTTGCCCTTAAAATATGCTAAGGCACCAGTTAGTGTTTGTTTTAAAATATTTGTCTGACCTTCATGACTAACTTCCATTCTTTTCCCTCTTACATTGTCATGTACAATTTAAAAATTCTTCCTAAATAAATTCCCAAATCACAGTTGATACAAGCATCTCGAACGCTACATACTCACATGAATGGTGCAAGATGTAAATACGTGAATGTAGAAAGTAAACACAAGCTGTGAGATCAAAAGAGACAGACTCATTTTAAGAGAAAAAGAGCAGTTGATAACATTTGGACAAAGCAGGAAGAGTAAGCTGCAATTAGTCCACCCTGAGCCTTTATTCTGAAACTTTCCCAACACTGTCTCTGTTTTTATTCTTCAGTGCACTCTCTGCACTGAAACATCTTGCAGCTGTTAATAGTACTGCAGGACAGAATCCAGCTGGGAAAAAGGAAAGTATTATTAGTAAGTCATCAAAGAAATATTTCTACCCGGCATACAACACTAAAACTTCATTTAAAGGAACAGACCAAATGAGTGACAAATACTGTAATGCATTACTTGTATTTATACCATTGATGACAGAAAAGGAAACAGCTTATTAAAACAATTAAGTACTGAGGAGTTAGATGGATTTATATATATGTTCTTTGATGAAGAATGCAACAGTTTATCAAAATGGTAGAAATGGTACCACACACTCTGTCCTTGCTCCTATCCCTCTATCCCCAAATATGAGCCTTGAGTTTACTGAATTCTATTCTGTGGAATACAAGCTAATGAGATGTAAAGCAGAATGATGTAATAGGTCTCAGAAGATTAATAATCATAATAAATATTAATACATTTCAATGTATTTGTATTACCTATTTAGATATATCACACACTTATGCATAGCATGTAATTCCTAGACATGACTGGCAAGTCAGAGCTTTATTCCAAGATGACACAGAAGCTACTCTCAAAGACCTTAGAATCACTTAGTGAAGATTCCTGTTGTTCCTGGTGATCAAATATGTGATGTTTCCCAGGGAAAATTCAAAAACCCTGCAGTGGGATACTACAGGATATTCTGCCCACAGGGGAAAAAAAAAAATGTTCCTCAAAATCCTAATGTCGCTCTTGTAATACCATTTATTTCTTTAAGTTATAACATGCATGTTCAGCCTGGTTTTCAGAAGCATTTCCCGAAGCAGAATATTTGCATTTCCTACTCAAGTTCTCTAGGAATATATATTGTTACTCCTCTTGCAGTGAAGTACAAAAAGTCACAAGCCAAATGTGACAAGCACAGAGTCTGCTTGGTTCATTAAGGTATCTTCAGAACAGATGCTGTTATGAGTCTCCTTTGTGCCATTTCTTCCTGTTTTCAAAACATTAACTATTGCACCATCAACATATCATTTCTTTAGAACTGAAGAACATGATTTCAGCACAGAAAAAAAAAAAAAAAGAATAGGTCACAATATATATTCCTTGCATCTTGCTGTCATTCCAATGGAATACTGGACCTGAATCAGTACTTCCTGAGCAGACCAGGACATCACAATACTGACTCAGCATCTTTGGAAACTGGCACTTTTCCCCCCACGAGGATGCTGACTCTGAAGACCAGAAATGCAGACATCAAATCGCTACCTGCGTGCTTGCAGTGTTTCTCCCTGTCACTAATTCTTTTGGTTACCTGTTTCTGCACTCATGTTTCAGGGATGTGCTGGAGCAGGTCCAGAGGAGGCCACAAAGATCCTCAGAGGGCTGGAGCACCTCTGCTGTGGAGACAGGCTGAGAGAGAGGGCTCTAGGGAGACCTTAGAGCACCTTCCAGTACCTAAAGGGGGCCTACAAAAAAGTCAGAGAGAGACATTTTACAAGGGCATGTAGTGACAGGACAAAGAACAAAGGTTTTATTGTGAAAGAGAGATTTCCACCAGACATTAGGAAGAAATTCTTTACTAAGGTGAAGACACACTGGCACAGGCTGCCCAGAGAAGCTGTGGTTGCACCATCCCTGAAGAGTCCAGGGCCAGGCTGGGCAGGGCTTGGAGCAACCTGGGATAGTGGAAGGATTCCCTGCCCGTGGCAGGGGGGCTGTAACTAGATGATCTTTATGATCCTTTCCAACCCAAACCATTCCATGATGTATTTTCCATCCTGTCTTCAGTTATCAGCCTGGGTGTACCTTGAGAAGTTACTTATAGCTTTATAGGTAACTCTGAAAATCCTGTGTGACAGTATACACATTTTTTTTGTATTTCACAGAGCAGTGACTGAATAACCAGTGCAATATTCATATCCATCCAACGAAACTGCTAATTTAGGTGGTGTTCTATCAAGAATTTATTCACTTAACTTGTGATAATCCAGAGGTGTAAAAAGTATACAAAGACACTCACTGTATTCCTAAGTGGAAAAATATTTGCTAACACATCCAAAAATGTCAATCAGAGATAAGAAGTTTGGTTTAGAGACCCACAAAAAATAATGTTTAGAACAGAAAATGGACTTGGGTACTTCAATCAAAAATCTTTTAAATATATTGTCCATTTCAGTTTCAAAATGCTCTTGAAAACGTACACGTAAAAGGCTGGAATTGTGGAAGGGCTAACTTTTTTCTAATTTTCATCAACTATTCAACTCTGCTGGAAGGTTAAGCTCTTGGTGATTTACCAATATTTTCAGAAGAGAGGAGAAAAACCCTTCCAAACCCATAACCATTCTGCACTGTGTTCAGTGCTGCTCCTGCAAACGCCCACCTAAATAAAATAATTCTACAATGCATCCTACATGCCACCAGCCTAGAGACAGATCAAGCAAGGAAAATGACAGAAGGCAATGCTACAACATCTGAAGTACAATTTTTTTTTTAACCCAAAGGTACTGTTAGAGTGGCTTTACAGAGTTGTTATCATGTTGGCAAAAGCAGATGTCCAAACTGATTTCATGACTAACTAATCATGTGCAATAACTGGGGCAGCCATAATTGTGATATTCTCACTCTGCTGTAAAAAGAGGCTCTGACATTCTCAGAGAGATAATAAATGAATAAGTGCAGCTCAGAATATTGGGAAGTTAAGATGTGTTTTATCAGAGTGGTTGGCACGAACAGAAAATGGTTTGCAAGCCCATCATCCTGAATTCAATGTCAAGACTTCTTCTCAACATGCAGTGAAACAGTTGTTAGAAGCAAGTGAAATTAGGACATTTGTAACATCATAGTCTCTAACCTATCTAAACCGCAAGGTGCTAAAATATATTTGCCCATGTGGGAGCTTTCATATTTTGTTGAGTTAGTGTTTCCTTGGGGAAAAAAATGTGCATGTGGCACCACTTTTTACAGCTGTGTTCTGAAGAACAGTAAATGTATGGATATTCCAGGATATCTAAGAATCTCTTATCTCTAAAGCACTGTGACTGCTTGTCTGAAGGAAACAAAAGCATCTGCTCCAAGCCAGCGACTGGGAAAAGGGTTGCAAGGAACCTGATTTGCAATCATGAAACAGAAAAAGGATGCCTGGCCTGCCCTGGATAGTATCATGGTATTTGGAACAGTTCTTAAATGCAGAATAACTTATTAAGGCTTCTGTGATGAAAAAACATAATCAAGTGATGTTTCACACGGCTCCAGTTCCAGCTTTATCTCACATGTTTTCTAAGGATCTCTGCCTGTGTCAAACTGCATGCTATGAAAGGAACATATAGCTAAATGCATATATGCATTAAATAAACATTTAATCCTTGCCAATTTGCACACCAAATTAAATGGACAAATCTGATCTAGAATTCAAATTAAAGTAACTCTTAGAACACTTACACCAGTATTGAAAATAATCTTTTTTCTAAATACAATGCAAACTTCTTGAATAAAAATTCTTACATTTACTTATGATATGAATATTGACTGTCTATATCAGGAGCTTGGGTAATTTCACTAAACATGTACAGAATAACTTTGAGCACATCTTTACAATTTCTGACATTAGTCCTAACCTAAGCAATTGCCAAAGAACACCTTGTGAATTTTCAAGGTGAACAGAAGCAGAAGGGAAAACAGAGAAGACTCCCATTTTCAGCCTTTTTTTTTAACATTCAGAGGGTCCTATCTGATTTGCGAATTCCTAAACAATTACAGAATTGTTGAAATTATGAGATCAGCAAATACTGTATTAATAATCAATCATATCCATTATCACATTAGCTCCAATTGCTGGTTTGGTAGATTTAATTTAAATTATTCCTTCTTTTCATCTAAACACATGCAAGAGTTTACTTTCTGTGGTTTCCTGCAATACGCTAATCAGTTTAGCTTTTCTGTTCTTCAGTAAATGATCAGCTACATTGTAGATTTGAACAAAATGCAATAAAGGATTAACCTTTAAGTGTCGCAGAATGCAGAGCAGAAGCAAAGTCCAGAACTTCTATAAAAACTTAGCTGATGCAATGTGAACAGTTCACTGATTGCATGCTTAGCTGAATCTGATTTTCTAATAGATCCAGAGAGCAGGACCAAGTTCATTTCTTAACTAGAAAGATCAGTTAGTGGCAGCTGGAAGACTACCAGTCTGAATATTTGGAAGCCCCTGCCACACATCCCTATTCAGGACCTCGTAAATGAGTTTTAGTGAACACTAAAAAACCAAACAAAAAACCACCAAAACCAAACAAAAACAAACCAAACAAAAACCCCCAAAACAAACAAAAAACAAACAAACAAACAAAAAAACACAAAACCACCAACCACTACAGTTCCAGATAATCAGTTTCAAGACAACAGTTTCAACCTGTTTTCAGAAAGATGACTGCTCAACCTATGGTTATAGAGAAGTCAGCAGGCAATAAAAGAAAAGAACGATACCACTGTTTTTCATTCAAAA